CAGTTGGGAGAGCGTCAGACTGAAGATCTGAAGGTCGCGTGTTCGATCCACGCTCACCGCATTTTATACTTTTTACCAGTTATCATTTTTTTCTCCGTCACATTCAAAACTCTCTGACATTATCACAACCGTTGGATGAGATGAATCACCACGCTTGCGGCATCACAACTCTTCGACTCTAGACATGCACCGCAGCGAATCTTTTCTCAAACAGACACAAACTATCTTCAACTCGGACAGTTTCTTGTGGATAGAAGGATATGAGTTGGAGATATCAAATCCCTTGCAGCAATGTGATTGGCTGCTTCAAACCTCAGGATCCCCACAAGAATTTTTCCCTCTTCTGCAATCTTAGCCACACAATGAATCTGTTCACTTCTTCATTTCAGCAAATTTATATACACTCCTCATTTCTTCTTCACACAATTCCAGGCCGTTCAAGAAGAAAGAATACCCAGTTTCCCAATTAACTAAGATCTGAGAAGAAAATGGCATCAATGGCGGCAACTGCAAGTTCGAGAACTGTTTTAAGCCCAACCCCTTTTCTTGGCCAGACTAAAGGGTCAAGCTCTAACCCTTTAAGAGATGCTGTCTCTTTGGGAACTGGGAAATTCACCATGGTAGCACCGCCTCTCTCTCTCTCTCTCTCTCTCTCTTTACTTAATGACCAGAAAGCGTAGAGCTTTTCTCTTCTCTTGGGGTTTGGTTAAGTGGGTGATTTTTCTTCTCTTGGGGAAATTTTGTTGCAGGGAAATGAGCTGTGGTATGGACCGGACAGAGTAAAGTACTTGGGACCCTTTTCGGCTCAGACTCCATCTTACCTGACTGGAGAGTTTCCAGGGGATTACGGATGGGATACTGCTGGTTTATCAGCTGACCCTGAGGCTTTTGCTAGGAACAGGGCTCTTGAGGTGATTTTTTCTTTTTCAACTACTAAATGTTCTTAAATTCTTCTTTTTGTGATTCGAGTCAGAAGATTTATTCATCAGGAACTTAAAACTATAGAAAATTTTATCTCGTAAAATCAAGAAATATTGGACAAATTCAAATGGTGATAATATTTTGATCATTATTATATAAAACATACAGGTGATTCATGGTAGGTGGGCAATGCTTGGAGCATTAGGCTGCATCACCCCGGAAGTCTTAGAGAAATGGGTAAAAGTAGACTTCAAGGAACCAGTGTGGTTCAAGGCTGGCGCACAGATTTTCTCAGAAGGTGGTTTGGACTACTTGGGCAATCCCAACCTTGTCCATGCCCAAAGCATCCTGGCGGTCTTGGGCTTCCAAGTCATTCTCATGGGTCTCGTCGAAGGTTTCCGCATCAATGGCCTGCCAGGAGTCGGAGAGGGCAATGACCTTTACCCCGGTGGCCAATACTTCGACCCTCTTGGCCTTGCAGATGATCCAGTTACATTTGCCGAGCTCAAGGTAAAGGAAATTAAGAATGGCAGGCTGGCAATGTTCTCCATGTTCGGATTCTTTGTTCAAGCCATTGTTACCGGCAAAGGACCACTTGAGAACCTCCTGGATCACCTTGACAACCCTGTTGCCAACAATGCTTGGGTCTATGCCACCAAGTTTGTTCCTGGATCATAGACTGATTTCTCAAAATCTTGTTTCATGTGTGCAGATTGAAATTGTTGTATGCTGTAGATTTTAGTAAAACAAGCACCCTGATTAAGATCTAATGTAACTTGTGACTTGGTGTTTTATGGTCATTGAGATGAAAGTGAACGTCATGATAGACAACATCTTGGAATCCACCTGATAACGGGTTTCAATCACTTGCATCAACAAGAAAACACTCGAGATATTTTGTTTACGAAAATTTTAGGGCCTTCCATGAGTTGCATTATAATCATTAGCACAAAAAATAACATAATCTTTTAAGTATGCGGTACTAGAGAGATATTACAATACATTGACAATGAGAGGATAGTATCACAAAAGATGTTCGTGCACTAAGAACAAAACAAATTAGAGACCTGTTTTAGTTAATTAATTAATCCACAAATGTATATCATGAATGTCATTGAGATTCCTGACAAATCCTGCTTATAGGCTAACTTGAGTCCTAGAACAACTTCAGAGTCTCATGAAAACACCTAGGTTCCAGGACCTGGATCATGCTGAGATCCTAAAGACGATGTTCAGTCTCGAGATTACTCACGAGTCCGGTGACAATACCAAAATCACCAAATGCTCCAGTCAATTTGGGATCCCAAGATTACACTGGATTGGAGCAGTATGCCATTACCAGGATTCAAGAGCACGTCTAGTTACAGGAAATTATGTTTTCTTTTTTTCCTCATGATCAACATAACAGGAAGGAAAATATAGGGAAAAAAAATAATATAACGAGGAAACCTAAAGGAGAAAAAGATTTTAGCAATATGAACATCTTTCATTCATATTTGGTGTCCTGACATTACATTTGATAGCAGAATATACACAACCTAGAGGACCTGGAATCTCTAACTAAGAATATCCCTATTTAGCTATGCACATGAGTCCACCCACCAAAAAGTGAAAAATGGTAGATACACAAGATAGATTTTCACCCACTTGACATTTCTCACATGATAGAAGCCCCATCTTTGTCTAACACAGAAATTATCAGCTATATGGAAACACTATGCTCTTGAGCTTATCTTCTCCCACCACTTCCTACGGCTTCTATCACCTTCTTGATGCCCGAGTTTATGGATTCTTGCCTTTGTCTCCCTCAATCTTGTCTTGTAATCTTTCTTCCATACCTCAAATCTCAGTTTCAACTTCCTAAGTTCTTCATCAGGGTTCATGATGGGCCCTGAATGTGCTGTTTTTACCCCACCTAGGGACTTTGCATCATCATCAAATATTTGTCTCCGCATATCAAATTCCTTTGCCAGATGGTTAACCGCATTCATACTACCATTACTCTCCCTCACTGCTCTAGCATCAAGAATGGCATTACAGAAGTTCTGTGGTGTGCTTCCCCCAGGAGTTGCCCCAAGATCTTCAGAATCGTAACAGTAAGGAGATGAGGTCTCTAGTTTTCCGGGTTGACCTGCAGTGTTGTCCGCAGCAAGACTCTTTCTGGCAGCAGCTAGACTCATCTGAATGAGAGTTTCAATTTAAGATATTAGATATCTGATGAGTATTAACTAATCAACTCAAGTCACTAAAGTCAAATTGATTGGTTAGAATATGGTCCTAAGAATCACTCTTAAGTTAGGTTTGCTCCAAATAGATACATTAAACTGACCAATAGAGCATTATAGAATGATATATTATGCCACTTATGAAGAATCAAAGGAAAGATAAGAATCCATTAACTCTATACAAGCTGTTCCACAAGGCATTAAGTTCCCCATAAAAATTATGTTGTAGTTCTCCATATTAACAATAATCTAAAATCTAAGAGGAATTAAGAAATTAATAGGAATTAAACGTACAACAAAGTCGACTGATCAACTTTACCCACAATCATATAATATATACTAAAACTAGAGTACTTTTTTATTAATCAACAACAATCATAAGTACGTAAATATATCATCAGTTATATTTGCATGTTGATACAAAAAACTCACTTGCAAAGATGACATCTGCTTTTGCCACATCTCCTCCATTGATTTCATCTTTGCCTCATATTCTGACCATCTTGTCTCAAATTGTTGCAGTTGCTCTCGCAACGCACAGTTTTCCTCTTCCTTTTCTCCCAAAGTTGCTTCCGCTTTAAGCACCCGCATTTGAAGCTCAGCTACAATTGAAGATGGAACCTTGTCCCGCTCTTGGGGTATGTCCTGCTTGAAAAGAGAAGGCAATATTAATTCTTTCTGCTTGCTCAAAATAAGGGCAAAAATACATCATTTGTTCATTCACAAATTCTAGCACAATCATACTTACATATAATGGCTGCTCCAAAGTTCAAAAGATTGTTTATATCTTATTATTATCATAATCACACTCATCCAGAAATTCATGCAAATATTTCTTACATCTGATGGCTGCTTCAAAGTCCAAAAGATTGTGTATAATCTTATTCTTGGACAGAAGGATCTATTTCATGTAGGTCTAATAGCCAGGGTTTCAGTTTCAACGTGAGTATTGACCAATTATTTCATTAAGAACCATGATCTTTACATTACCAAAACTGCCACTTTCTCTCGAGTGCCTAGAAGCTTCCCTACTATTGTAGAAGGAAAAAGTCTGGTAGGTTCCTCAATCCAATTTTAACACTATGACAAAGTATATATATCCTACCCAAGAATAACATTTATCAGAATAAACTGGGGCAGCGCAGGATTAAGCTGTTTAAGAAAGTGCAGCAATGAGGAAGAGAAAGCTGCAATGCCAATCAACTCACGTTGCCATGGGTGCAGGAGTAGCTCTATTTATAAAACTAGTGACTACAGTAAAATATGGAGCAACTGAGAACTAAGACTTTATAAAACTGCTGCTTAGCCTCTGTTAAGGTTCCACATTTTTTAGGCAAATGGCAACATGCCATTATAAGTAATACCTTGACATCTGATATCCTCCTGCCTGGCTTAGACTTTGGTTTTACATTCTCACTGATTAACTGCTTCGAATGATGCATCTTAGTTATATTTCTCCGAACCAACCAGCCACGAATAACTGCAAAAGGAAAACAAGCATACATAAAATGAATCCAATTTAGGAAGGCACAAGTGTACCGCGAGCAAGATCAGACTTTTACCAGACTGCAAAAATATGATTGCTGTCAGCTGTTCATCAAGCATTTGAGGGGAAGCAGCTGGAAGCATCTTGGCGTCAATTTTCCATTTTCTTCGGGCATTTTCACCTCGGATAACTGCATTATGGAATAATTTATCAAACAAGCGAATCATAAGTTTGAAATTTGCCAACTTAAATATCTCTCAAGAAATTGTTAAATCATTTAAGATAGGTTACAGAAAAATCAAAATATATAAAGAAATACTTGAAGGCATTAAGTTCTGTAAGGACTATAATCTTTCCAGTTTTCCTTTTTTTCTTTTTGGTGTGTGAAAAAAAAGAATCAGCCAGAAAAGACCTAAAGAACCTCTCAGAAGATGGGCCAAATTATAAGGAATAACACAAACAATGATCATAAAAAGAGGCAACAATAAGATTGAGCCAGAGAAGTATACTTTCTTTTTTGGAAAAGAAAAACAAGGTAATAAATATCTGGGGAGAAAAAGCATTCATTACATGATTGTAGTGTTGTTGCTCCTTTCTTGAGTTCATAGAAATAATTACGGGCATGGTGACCACGGAAGCATTTTTGAATCCCAACTATGCCATCCAGACCTTGTTTCCTCCTATACTCCAACGCACCAATCTACAAAGTCCAAGACATGACAGAGTCGCACATGAATTAAATGACAATGTTCTTTCATATAACAAACTAACTGCAAAAAGACATGATGCAAGGATATGAAATTATATTTCTTCCAGTCCAATTGATAAACTATGCTTTCATTTCCGAACATAAAATAAGTAGGACTACTCCAGTGACTTTGTGGTCAGCTAGTGCTTTGGTTCCAAAATGGCAACCACCTACTTCCTATAGAAGTATGGACCTAAATACAAAAACCTACCATTCAAACATATATAGAAATTACAGGCAAAAAATTAAATAGGATAACAACCGAAATGGTTGTTCTATCAATTTCTTTAAAATCTCTACTTTTTTCTTCATTTGCTTCGTGTTTTCTAAAACTCCTAGACCACACTCTTGGTAGCCCAAAAGCAACTATTTAGAAGAGCAAAGAACCATGAAGAGGAAAAGAATTAAGTTACCTGACCAAAAACTTAAAAGGGTCACCTTTGATGGGAGTTGATTCGGGCAAAGCACAATACCAAAGGCAAGTTTTTGGAGGGCACATGGACCTTTTTAGAGAAGATTGCTCGTCTGGTCCATTATCAAAGTAGTAGTTCAAGATAAAATTTTATACATCAATCTGCTCTCTCAAGATGGTAGACTTCGAAATTTTTGGAAATAGACTTGAACAAGGAAAGCACCTATCCATAGTGTTTTCTTCAATTGGGAAGCATCTTGGGAAGAATTCTCACTATATTCACAATCTTAGAAAGGGATAGGAGGCAAACTTATTGTAACTGGTTGCCCTTTGTGCCTCAAAGAGTATGAATCCCCCAATTATCTCCTTCTTGGGTACTTGGAGGCTAGAAGGTTTTGGGAAGTCTCCTAAATCTCGGGTTGTTTCTGGATTTGTGATGGATGAACTTTGCGCTTGCGACCAGGGGGGGGTTAAAATTTTGAAATCCAGGAGAAAAGCTTGTAAGCTTATCCCTTCAACTATTCTCTGGGCTATCTGGAAAGAGAGGAACAAAAGGAGCTCTTAAAGGCGTTAGCTCTTATTTTGACAGAAGTAGATATATTTGGTTCCATTCTTTGAGCTTATTGTGAAGGAGCCCAATTTTATGATAAGGACTTGGGAATGTTATTGATTTTGACATCTGACCTTTGTGAATAATATTGGGTGACACTCTCCTGGTGCCTTTCCTGTCATTCTCTTTTTATATCAGAGAAAGTCACTTATCAACAAACGCAGTGGTGTAGAGGCAAAGTTATTAGGTTCAGCTCTCAAAACCAGATATTCAGCTCCTTTTAGAATTTCTGGATTGTCACATATTTCTTGTTTTACATCTCTGCCATTTTAAATGAAAATATGATTAATGAGAATAACTTATTCCAAAATCAAAGGCATATTTCAGAGCGGGAGTGATCTCAATTGTTTACTGGCCTTCAATGAAGATCCTTTTGTGATTTCAGGAGACTTACTATTGGCAAATTTGCCATAAAACTTTAAGCAGCAGTTTTTACTTATAATAGAATGCAAAAGATCACATATAACAAGCATCAGTACATTACTACCATGCTGCTACAACTTCTAATGCTAATTGAAGAAACTTACCTGCCCTGTTCGGAGATACAACTTTGTATAACCAACTTGGTACATTTCAGGGGGGACATTAAATTCTTGCAGAATGGCAACTGACATACTTAAAGGATCCTGAGATACACTATTCTCCCCAAGTAGGAATCCGTACCTAATATGCAAGCAAGTACACATAAAGAATTAGATAAGAATTCCTAACGAATAAATAATAAGAATCAATACTGGGATTGCAATTGCTACCTTCCTGCAAACTCTTGGTGTGTCATTCTAGTAGGGTATCCTGATCTTGAGATTCTGACAACCTCCAGTATGCCGCAACATCTAAGCTGTTGTAAGACGAGGTCCTCTTCATACGTGTCAGGAAGCTGCTTGGTGTTTGGCTTTATACAGCGAATGAAGTGAGGAGTAGTGGTCTCCAACTGGTTCATTAACTTGAAGAGTTGGCCCTAAAAGCAAGCAGCAAATTAAAGTTTAGCAAAACATATTTTTCAAAGGTTTCTATCAGAAGAACATGTGATCATAAAGCACCATAGCAAGCTGCAGAATAAAGAGAAAACAGTAAACTTCCTATAAACAAACCAATCAGCAAGGCCTCAAAGAATTCACTCTAATCTTTGATGAGATAATAGTTTCAAGAAGAAAGGAAATATTGTATATATTTTATCAAATTATTAGACATTTGTCTGCCACAAGCAACATAAGGACTTCATCAAACAAAAGAAAATGCTACTAACATTGACCCAACAAGTAACTATTCAAACCCTTAATTAACTTTAGTGACATTCTAATCATCAATAAATCATATAACGTTAGTACATAATAAAACAAAATAGAAGCAAAACATGCAAATGAAAAGAATAACAGATGCTACCTTAAACTTTGTACCAACACTTCGATTTGGAGAGTCTGACATATTTGCTGGTTTCTGGGATTGCTTAAGCATTTTGCTGGCAAACAGTTGTGATAACTGGCAATTGCATGACGTTAGGAGACGGATGACGCCAGAGTTCAGTGGATCTCGGTTCTTCTCCAGAAAGCCATTTGTATCATACAGAACCTGTTAATAAATTGAGATATATAGAGTCAAAAGAAGTTCAAAACCCTACATGGTTAGAAGTCTTGAATATTGCAGATAATATACCATAATAACTCTACTAATACAGAAACGCAACATAACAGAACCATCTACTCAAGTCAATTTTCATCT